AATAAGATATTTATATTAAGTGATTCGGGTATGAGGATTATTTATATAGATATTGAAGCTGGTGAACGAAAAGGGACAGTTTTCCTAAAAACAAATTCCCTGAGTACTAGAGTGTTAGAAAATGTGAAAAGCTCCTTTGTAGCTTCTCTGTGCTTCATTTGACTTGTGCCCGCGTTCCCGTGTCTCTGTGACATACAACTGGCGTACTTGGTGCTGGTAAGGTAAATTATGTAAATCACAGAAGACATCTTGAATGCTAACATTTTCTAATAACCTTAATTTTTTTTTAAACCACAACTGAGACAGTGAGGCATTCCGTCCCAAAGATGGTAAAGGAGCCTTACTTGCTGCCTGCTCTCTGATGAATAGGTTGGCAGGGTGCTGTGTGACCCGGGCGGGCCCTGCCCTCTCGGGGGAGAGTCTTAGTGCCATGCCGCTCGGTGCCCGCTGGTGCCGTAAATTAGGTTCTCAGCTCTTCTGCTGCCCTGGGGGGAGGCGTATGACTGTTCTGCCATCAGACCGCCCTGCAGCACGTGCCTCGTTCAGGAGATTTTTTAAAAACTGTTTTAGGATGCTTCACATTTGAAAAGAGTGAAGCTGATCTGTGGTTTTCACCACCTGCGCTGTTGTTCCAGGGAATACTGTTACTAATCATGGCCGAGGAGAATAAAAAGCGTGGTATATGTCACTCTCTTGCCCAGGGGTGAAAGGTTGTCTTCCTTGTTTCCATTTGTAAAAGAATGTTGTTCACCCCTCCTCTTCTCCTCTCTTCCCTACATCTGGTTTTAAATTTCTTCGGTGTAACCACTTTGCCTTTGTGGACGTATCAGCCCAGCAGTAGGCATTTTTACTGAACTCTGGAAAAATGGAACCATTGCTCAAGGATGATGTGTAAAATACTGCCTAAGGGATAAAAAAACTGCATAAATTATGCTTTCAAGTTTTGAGTAAAAGAATACGTTGCCGCCTTATTTTTGTAGACAATATTTTATAACTACCTTTCTCAGAGCCTAGCCTTGCTTCTAATAAATATACCAAATATATACCCTTCATTTACATTTTTGGGGGAAATATATTCAACAGCAATAAATTTGATTTGATTTGGCACGTTTTGTGCTGAAAGCACACAAATAAAGTTTGTATGGATCTGTGCTTGCACATGCCCGGTGAAGAAAATCTGTGCTGTTAATAGAGTGACTGTGTGGTAAATGCAGACCTTAGGTGGACCTGTGGGACTAGGCTGCCTTAACGAGAACAGGAGTTTTAAGAAGAACAGGTTAGGAAGTAAATGATTAGGAAAAGTTTACAGTATGGAAATGTGTGCTACCCTTTAAAATACTCTATGCAAAGATGGTTAAAAGCAATGTTGATGAGGGGCCGGCCCCGTGACGCAGCGGTTAAGTTCGCACGTTCTGCTTCAGTGGCCCGGGGTTCACTGATTTGGATCCCGGGTGCGGACATGGCACCACTTGGCACGCCATACTGTGGTAGGCGTCCCACATATAAAGTAGAGGAAGATGGGCACGGATGTTAGCTCAGGGCCAGTCTTCCTCAGCAAAAAGAGGAGGATTGGCAGTAGTTAGCTCAGGGCTAATCTTCCTCCAAAAAAAAAAAAAAGAAGAAGTGTTGATGCTTAAGGGGGTTTCCAATGAGAGATTGTCTTTATCAGCCAACAACTAATTGGAGTCCTTTGGAGGAGATTGGCCTCACCTGCCTGTACGTAGACATTTCATTAGCTGGTGTGACAGAAAAGTCCTGTCCTTTCCCCTGGATGAGAACTTAGCGTCTTCAGTCCCAAGTTGACTCTAGAACCTCACTGCCCCCTCACCTTGGGCACTCTGAATGGTGGGAGAGAGTTGAATTCTTAATAGGAAGTAATCATGCGTCCAGAGTTAGGAATAAGAAAGGGAACAGGTTTACCCAGAACTGTCTTATCTACTCCCCTGGCTTCAAATGCTATGCATACATCGATGACTTTTGAATTCTGTATTTTTGCCCTTATCCTCCAGCTCTGGGCACAGATTGCCAGCTGATCAGTCATACCTGAATGTGCCGTCTCCATCACGCACTGATATATCCAAAACCAAGCTATTTCCTAAACCTTTTCCTGTGCTATTTCTGCCTTACCTGGATTTCAGAACTCATCATTCATTCATTCATCCTTTACTAAGCACATACTTCGTGGCATGCGCAGTGTTAGGTGCTAGGAAAACAAAGACAGATAATAGACAGTTTCTAGTTTTTAGTTACATGGAGAAATATTCTCTGAACCCTCTCTTTTGTTTTTATTCCATTTAGTTGGTCAACAAGTCCAGTCTGTTTTTCTCTCTAAATACAAGAGTCTCTTGAACTTATTCCTTTCTTCCCACCCCTGCTGCCACTGTTGTCAGTCCATAGCTTTGTTATTTCTTAGACCATTGCCCAGCATCCTAAGTGGCCTTCCTTTACCACTTCTGAGTTCACCCTCCATGCCGTCGTCAGCATAAATCTTAAAAAATAAACATGGTCTTATTTTCCTGCTTACACTTGTTTAGTGAGTTACATCGTTTGCAGAACCAAGTCTGCATTGCATTCCGTAGCATTTCTTAAAAGGCCCCTCACAGACCAGCTCCATTTTCTGTCCCTTCCTTCGTTCACCCTGGACCCCGTTGATGAGAAGCTGTTTCCTCCCTGGAAGCACGCCGGTTTTTCCTGTGGTACTGTTTCCTGTGCTGTCCCCCTACCACTGCTGAGCTCTCTTTTATACCTCGTGGCCCACCGCCCTCAAATGCCATTTCTCAGTAAACCCAGCTTTTTGCCTCCCTCCCTAATTAGTCATTTCCTTCTCTAAAATCAGGGAATTGCATTTATATGTACCACTGGCATAGCAGTCATGTTGTGCCATTATCATTTTATTATATGTTTGTCTCCCCCGCTGCCTTGAATACCTTGAGGGCATAGACCTTGTCTTCGTTTTTGTCTCTCTTGCACAGTGCCTTGAATGTGGGGTTCACCCAATGAGTGAATGACTCCCCATTCTCCCAGGTGTGCAGTTAAGGTCTTCCTGGATACAAAAAACGCGCAGTCATTTGTCTGCTAAAAAGTTCGAGATATTAGAGACGCTTAGTTCCTCTGTGTATAAACACTTGCCACTTTTTGTTTATCTGAGAATAGTTGAAGACTAGCAATCCACTACCTGCCCTTTTTTTGGAAATATAAATTCATGGCGATGATTTTAAGATGCACACCTTTGACAGCGTTTGCCTCTCTCTTCCATTGCTGCGTGCATCACCACTACCTTGTGTCTGTAGAAATGATGGTTGAAGTCTCTTGGTCAGTGCCACATGCTCGTGAATTATCACGTCGCCTGAAATCAGATCAAATGTGGGGCTTGTTGGGTTGTGTGGCCCTCATACACCGACGTATCACACGTTAAGTTCTTTATTTAAATAATTTAATATGTTTCAGGTTGTAAAGCTCTTGCAGGACAAGCAGCATAGGGTGTTTCACAAATCAATTGACATATATACCAACCTATGAAAGTATAAAAATAATGAGCGTGTTAAAAATTAATTACAGTTGTAAATTGATTTCCTTTTGTTGGCAGAAAGAACCTAGTTTATTAGCCTAGGAACAGGTTCACACTGTTTTAACATCAAGCACTTCCAGCTGAAGCTTGTTAGTGACTGCCTCTCAGATTAAGAAAAAAAAATCCTCCCTGTGGTACATGAGCTCCCATTGTTAGGACATAAGTGATCCGCTCATCCCCTACGTGGATGAGAACAAAGACCCTAACAGTACACAGAGCAAAGATTAACTAAGCAAATAGTGTATGGCCCCACTAAAGAGGTAAATTTTAAAAGGTTCTATGTATGTATAAGTAGGTTTGCATTTTTTATTTTTCTTTGTGAATGCCTCAGTGATGACACAGGAGCTAATCAGAGGGAAAAAAATATATACTTTGGCTTTTGAATTAGGTAGTTTGATTATTTTAAGCTAAAGTAAAATAAAATCCTTTAATTAGTGTCAATATGCTGCTAATACATGAAAGCTAGGGAAATATTGTTCTCTTTGATAGCAAGATGCTTTAGATTTTTAGCAGTTCTGTTTATTTTTAAACCAAGGACTAAAACCAGAATTATTATTTTGAAGAAAAGGATCAATGGAAACGTATGAGTAAAAATTAAAGTGGCTGACTTTTAGTACAGCTTTTTTAAAAAAACAACTTTATTGTGTATTTCCTAGCACAGAATCTAAATCCTCACTTTGAAAAAGAAAATTCGTCCCCTAGACTACTTTTTTATTCAATTGAATTTCATTTGTTTGAATTTGAACTTGACACAAGAGATAAGAAAAGCAGCTGTAGAAAACAGTATATACTTCCAAAAAATCTGAAAATTATTGGCAAAAAAATATGTCTTCATAAGTAATAGAAACCAAGAAGGGGAGTAATAATTTCCCCACAGAAATTTAAATTTACTTACTTAAAATATTTCTTTTCTGAAAATGATTTCAATATTTTAGGAAAGATCTTTTCATTACCTTTGCTTTTTAAAATTGTATTGTTTACCCTAACTTTTAATTTATTATATATTTTGTGTGATTTATGGTCGTGAATTTTTTTGTAAATGATCTTTAATCCACAAATGTGTAAGAAATTTTACTTTGAGATACCATTTTCAATGTTGTCTAATAATTTCAGATTTTAAGAAATCGTGCTTTTCCCCCCACCTTAAGTTATCTTTTCAAAAACCTTAAAAATAGTGATTTTATGTCTAATATAATATGCAGTCTGATTTATAAAAAGCTAACATGTCATTAGGTTAATAAATTCCACGTTAAGTTTACTTTGGTGGCGTCACACCGCTCACACCTGGTCCTTTTGTTCGCGGGATTCTTGATGGTTCCTTCTCCAGGCTGTTACCCTGTGGCCCTGGGGCAGGCCGTTTGCCTGTTGAGATAACTTCTTGATTCTTTTTGCTGCAGTCGCATTGAAGTGTTTCTCTCTGTTCTTTCTGCAGTGCCTCCGCTGCTGGGTTTCTGACCTCCAGCGTCCTCACGGTGCCCCTTGCAGTGCGGAATGCTTTCTGAGTTGTCGTCGTACTTTCCTTCCCACTGCCTTCTTGGAGCTTCCCTTGGTCTGTCTCAGTCCAGTGATCTCTTCTCTGTATTCTGCAGCCCCCTTTTGGGGTAGTGTAAGCAATGTGGGCTTTGGATTCAGATGGGGTTCAAATCCAGTGTTGCTCTTACCACTCTTAGCTCAGTGACCTTGAAGATTTCCTAAGCTCTCTGAAGTTGTTTCCTTATCTGGAAAATAAGGGTTATTTGTGGAACCTAACTCGTGGCTGGGTCGTTGTGAGGACTGAAGAAACTGAAGTGCCTAGTACAGTGGTAGTTACAGATCTGTCAATGTCTAGATCTCGTCTATAGAGCCTGGACTCAATAACAAGCTCCAGTTCCTATACCACTAATTACCCGTGGTCACTGATGTTAACTAGATCCCAAAGCTCTTTTTTCCCCTGTCAGGTTTTGTCCCCATGCTCTACTAGATCCTGTGGGAAGGCGTGCATACCGGGTTACATGTGTGTCCTCCTCAGGAATTTTGAAGCGCAGTAGAAGAGATAAAAGCACCGACTGGGCTCCTTATTGCAGCAGTGATAGTCTTGGCAAACCACCTTCTCCTATTCGTCAGTATCCAAAAATGAGGCATCATTTTGGCTAAACATTTTTAAAATGTTAAATATTCTTAAGATTGTCTTTAATTTAAAATTTGTTGTTACAACTCTAAAATGTTTCTAGTCGACCTCTAGCATGGTACATTTGCTGTGCTCTTTTTCGTTTGGACTTTTGTATTAAATAATTGGGAACATCTGCTAAAGTGCCCCAACGTAGTAGTTTGTGTGGGGTGACTGCCGGGGCTCTGATAATGCCCGTCATCCTTTATGATGTGGGTTTTCTCGTGCGTAAAGTGAGGCATTGATCTCCAAGTTTTCCAGTCCTGGTGGGCTAGCTCAGAATTTTATTTTGTAGTAATTTTTACATGGAAACATGTCAGCTTTTAATAAGTTGGAAGTGCAGTTGGTTTTTATAGCCCCCACACAAAACAAAACTTTCACTGTTTTTAAACCTAGAAGTAAGAGGTGGAATTTGGGAACGTGGAGAGCCCTCGGGTTGGGATTTATGTGATAGCAGTTTTGCTGTAATCCTCCTGTGCGCTGGAGGGGGTCATAAGTTGTACTGGCCACAGGTGTGGAGCAACTTTGTGAGCCCTCGATGGGCTCGCAGCGTGAAATCAGCAGCTGCAAATCCTCGCAGCTGAACCACAAGCCACAACTAATTATCTGGCTTTCAGCAGGAAAATCCACAATCTATAAACTTTTTAAAACCTGTATAGCCTCACTTCAGTGGCCTATCAATATTGAAATAATTAACATTCTCAAATTTACCCACTTTGAACAGTGTTTTATCAGGTAATTTCTTTAAAATCCCTGTAATAAGGGTAGAAAAAGTATTTTCATTTCTACGAGTAGACTTAAGTACCTGCTCTATAGGTCCTTAAGTATTTTGAGGGACAATTTATTCTGGCAGTTTATAAGTTCTTTCTCAAAGCCCTCTATATTTTGTGTATTTCGTCAGTCTGTTTATTTTTTAATTAAACCTTTTTTTGAGGTAATTATAGATTCACGTGCAGTTGTGAGAAGTAATAAGGACTCTTTCTTCCTGTGTACCCTTTACCCAGTTTCCAGTTGCAAAACTAGTACCGTATCACAACCAGGAGATCGACATTGATGCACTCCATTGATCTTAATCAAATTTCCCACTTTCACATGTATTCATTTTTGTGTATGTCTGTGCGTATTTGGTTATGTGAAATTTTATCTAGTGTAGATTTATTTATTCACCACCAAAGTCAAGATACAGACCAGCTCCATTATCACAAGGACCCCTCCTCTTATAACCACACCCAGCTCCCTCCCACCCACTCCCCCAGCCCCTGGCAACCACTAGTCTCCACCTCTAACATTTTGGCGTTCTAAGGATTTGTATAAACAGAATTATGCAGTATGTAACTTTGAGATTGGCTTTTTTCACTCAGCATAGTTAATTCCTTGGAGATTCATCCAAATTGTTGCATGTGTCAATAGTTCATTCTTTTTTATTGCTGAGTAGTATTCCGTAATATGGATGTGCCACAGTTTGTTTAACCATTCACTGACTGAAGGACATCTGGGCTCTTTCCCTTTTTTGGCTGTTACAGATAAAGCTACTGCGAAGATTCATGTACAGGTTTTGGTGTGAACAGGCCGTTCTCTGGGGTGAATGTCCAGTGGTGCAGTTGCTGGGCAATGTGGTAATTGCAGGTTTAGTTTTATAAGTGGTGTCGATGTTTTACTCTTCCAGTGAAGTATGGTAACCTTGCTTCCACTTTTTGAATACCATTGTCTTGAGGATCAAATGGTGTTAGTTTTTAATCAAATATGGTTTAGAAAACTCATGAGGAGATAGTCTATTTTATTCATTTTTCCACTCTTTCTGTTGTTCTTTCTCCCTTTTTGATGCTCAAGGTTCCTTCTTCTATCATTTCCTTTTTCTCTGAAGAACTTCTTCAGCCATGCTTTAAAGGTGTGCTTTAAAGGACAAATTCTTTAGTTTTTCCTCATTGGAGAATGTCTTTACTTCTACTTCATTCATGAGGATAGATTTGTCAGATGTAGGATTCACAATGGCCAGGTTTTTGGGCAGGACTCTTGTTCCGTTCAGGGGAGAAATAAGCCCACCTGGGTAGCTTTCTGTTCTGGCCTGGGGACTAGGGCACGCTGGGCCTGGTCACCTCGTGCTGTTGGGTGGGGAGTCAGAAGACCCCTTCCCTGCGTCTGCGTTGTTGCTCTCGTCCTGGGCCCCTAAGCAGTGGACCTTGCTCTTTGCACCTTTCAGAGTCCTTTTTTGGTTGTCTTTTATGTTATTTCCAGGGTTTATAGTGGTCCTTAACATGGAAGAACAGTAAGTATGAATCTATGCCATCTTGACCGGACCAAAAGTATTATTTTTTTAAAAGATATTTTCTTCTTTCTAACCCTTCTGTCTAGGCTCTTTGTTAGTATTTGTTTACGAAATGTGTTCCAGGGTCATTCAAAGCTCAATTGCATGAGAAGCCTTCTGTAAACTAGACAGCGCTAAAAAATATTTCAGAATATATTTTATCGTTATTATTGAGAGCTTTTTCCTGACAAAGTTTAAACCCTTTTAAGACATTAATTTTACTGGCTGCAAAATATTTCAATTTATTCTTCTTTGCTGAAACTAGAACCTTACTCTAAATCACTTCCTGCATTTAGAGCCTTAATAACCGGAATGACTCTTGTGTGGCTCTTTTCTTTGAGTGATACATTTGTCACTGAAGACTCCGGGGCTGCGGTGGGTGGGAGAGACTCTGGTCCCACCTCTACATATGCATGCGCATGCAAACACACAAAACTGAGATCCCACCGTGAGTCGTCCTGAGTGCCTTCACTGTCTAGAGACTTCTGCCATGTTCCCATTGACCATGTCAAGTTCTTTAGATATTAATGCCAGCCTGGAGATACGACTTCATCATATTGTCATGAACATTTAAAGTTGGGCAAGGAAGTAAGTCAGTATTTTCTGTGATCCTGTTCATCTTTGAATGAACAGTACCTAGAGCAAGTCCTCAAGAGTTTTATGGATATGTAGTTGGAAATAAAAATTAGATCATTTTAAGGATCTGATAATGGAGGGGGAGGTGGATATTCTTGTACTGATGCATGTAAGAAATAATTTTCCAAAAGTTTCATATATTTTTTCCGGAAGTCTTCATTTAGGTATAAATTAATACATTTGAGGTTCAAAATGTTGGCCCTATAAATTAATCTTTGTACTTGATTCTTTTCAATTTTGCTCTATCAGTATTTTGATAAACTGGTAAAGTACTTTTAAATTTTGGGTCATTTGTACACTGCTTTATGTGGTGTTCCCCTAAACTATGTATTTGTAAGTTGTTTCTGTTCATATGGTAAAATCAAGGAATGAAAGACCTCAAATCAGTGTTTTTTAATGTGAAAAATCACATCCTAATTTAATTATTTCATTTTGGTTTAGATTTTTTTTGTGTATTAGCTTTTGCTGAATCAGCACCCCTACCCCCACCCTGCCCAAATCATCTTATTTGTATTTTGGAGATGCCTTTGGACTGCTGCATCTTGAAGTGATACTGTATCCTTTGTACAATTTGAATGATTGAATTTGTCCGTGGAATCCTGGTAGAGCTGAAAGCGACTTCAAGGCACTATCTGGTCCAACTGATTGCCTTTGGAAATTTGTCATAACTAATATAGTAAAAGTAATAAAACTGTAAGGTAGCTGAAAATATTCTTGAAATTCTAACTTAACTAGATTAAAGACAGATTTTGTTTCCCTGTGGGAAAATGGAAGAAGAGTAATTTAGAACAATTTGGGTTAAAGAATTGAATTAAATATTTCAGAGTGTTTGAATCACAGGAAAGTAGAAGTTACAAGAAATATTATAAGGAAATGCTAGTGGCAAAGTAAAAGGTGATTAATGTTTTCCTCTGTGTTAAAAGAAAAATACTGAAGAAACCTGCCTTTAATAATAAAGGGAGATTAATGTGCGAGTTTCAAATGACTATTATCAACTTACTTTCACAAATGAATTCCTTATGGAAAAATAGAAAGGATTGAAGTTACTGAATGTATTTTGCCAGAGGAGACCATATTAACTCTTTTCTGTATATCCTCCCATTTGTTACAATTTCAGGCCTACTTTCTCGTTGTGATTCCTACCTGTTTCCAAACTGGGAAGGATAATGCGTTTGTCTTGACTTTAAACAATGCCCTTCCCCAAAGACCCCGTGGTTCCTTGGCTGCCCGTCCTCTTCTGTGTCTCAACCCTTCACAGTAAAGGTCTCGAGTAGCTCGTCTTGTAAGAGGTTTGAGCTCAGGGCCTGCATTTTGTCATAATTAAGTGAGCCTTTCTCTCAATCTCTTTTTAAATGTTTTGTCTGTGTTAATATACCTTCATTTTTCTTTTTAGTTAGTATTTTATGTATCTTCTTCTATCCTTTGACCTTCCCATATTCTTCTGTTTTAAATATATCTCTTC